AAAAATATAAGAATTAGCCTCCACTCAATGGGCTAAGTACGTGGGCCGCATCAAAAACATTTATTAAGTCATCGTTTGCTAAATATTTAGGGTTTAAAAAGTATAAAAAAGACAAAATAGATTATATAAATTAATAAAATAAATTATCATATCTAAACTATAATCATTACACTTTTTCTATCACAAAAATTTAAAAAAAAATTAAAAATAAAAACCAAACAAAATTAAATAAATTAGACTAAAAAAATTTCAACATAAAAAATTAGTTACCGTAGTCAATGTTTGTTTAAGCTTAGCCAGAGCGGATTTAGGCACAATTTCTTACAGCTCTGCCAGCCCGATAATGTTCCTTATTTGAAATGACATGTTACTGGATCAGTGTTATTATTATTAGAAAAATGCTTGGGAGCACTAATTAGTGCTCCCACTAATTAGGTGGCAGTGGGTCCCGCCATTAATGATGTGATGTTTAAAAAAAAAAAAAATACAACTCTAAAACCAAAATATCACATCATTAATGACGGGACCCACTGCCACCTAATTAGTGGGAGCACTAATTAGTGCTCCCAAGCATTTTTCTTATTATTATTACTATTAAGTTTCACAAATCATGGATGGAAAATGACAACCAAAAATTGCATGTCCTAAAGCCTTTTTTATATTTGTTTGACCATCAGATAGGTTTTTATTTTTTGGTCATTCAATCTTTTAACTTTTATAAACTTTTTTTAAGAGCTAATTATTTTTATAAAAAAAAATTGTTAGGACATGTAACATTTTTACTTTTTTGGGTGCTAAATATTTTTTTTATAAAGATCTTCACTCTGTATTTATACATTTTAGCCTCAGTTTTTTGCGAGAGAAAATATTATAGTGAGAAATTAAAAACAAAATTTAATATTGTTATTACTTCTTCTTCTTCTTCTTTCTTTTATTTTTTTTTTCTATGTTCATGCAGTATGTACAAATTATATGTATTAATTAAAATCAAGCATAATATCAAGAGTCAAACGTTACATTTGAGTTTATGGTTTATTTCAAAATATGCTTCATTCCATTGGATTATTTGTGCATGTTACAGTTATTACATTTTTTTATTAAAAAAATAATCACTATGTTTAGTTTTAATTTTTTGAGTTATTTAAAAAAAAAAAAGTAATTTGAAAACTATATTTTAGAAATGGATGTCTTTAGTTTCTAAAAATTTGACCATTGCAAAGAAATTCAAACACATAGAGAGAAAGGACAACATAAATGATGTATTCAGCAATAAATTAAAAAAAAATATTGTCACATCAAAACGCTACCATATTTGTTTTATGTATATATATGTACATGTTGTATATGTATCAAAACATAATTTGATATGTACCCCTTTATTCCATTAAATTTGTGACTTTATCATAAAATTTCATAATATTAATCACAAAATACATAATTTAATCACAAATTGACATAAAAAAAAAAATAAGTAACCAACTTACAAACTTTTATAATATCAAATATAAAATTTTGTATTGTTTTAAAATCCCTCCACATTGAATATTGTGTCAATGTGAAATTTAAAATCCAATTACAGTATACTTTCAAAAAGAAAAGAAAAAAAAACAAAACAAAACAAAAGAGAACATGTCACATCAAAAAGTAAAAAGAAAACAAAAAGAACAAGTTACATCAAATCACATCTCTGTTTTCAAGTGTGTATCTAAAAAAAAAATAAAAAAAAAATGAAAATTTCTTTTGATTTTTGGACTTAACCAAACAAAAACTTAAAAATTTTCAAAAAAATAAGTTTGAAAAATCGGAACCAAACACATTGAATAATATTCCTACATAATTTTTATATAATTTTTTTAACAAAAGGTAAACAATTATATTAGTAAAAATAACCATTACAAACAGATTTGCTAGTTTATGCGGATTTGATTGGTAGCTCAAAAAACAGTGGCCTTAATGGCCCTAAATTTCCATATAAGGCAAAAAAAAAAAAACAAGGCAAAAAAAAAAAAGATAAAAAAAACAAACTTATCCAAAAAAGAAAATTAGGGCCATTAGGGCCACTACAATTCATTTTCCTAGTTTATGGGCCCGCTTAACCACTGCTCTAGAAGCCTTATAGATACAAACATAATCAAAACATTCTAATGAACTACTAATATCATTAAGAAGCGATGCTATTTGCCACTCCGGAGCTTCCTTACGATTAAGCAAATTGAGGCCAAGTTTAACTATTCTAAATAAGTACACACTTTTTATTTTTTTATCTTTTTTTCATCACATCATCTCTCTACTTTTTTGCACATCTTTTCGTAAAAAGACAAAAAGTACACTTATTTAGGTCATCACAAACAATTCCTAAAATTTCCGTGAGAATCACGATTAAGCAAATTGACTACAACTTGACAATCCGTGAGAATTGAAATGCATCTGATATTATGTTCCTTTGCCCACGCAAGAGTAGCCATAGCAGCCTTGATTTCTGCCATCAGAGGAGAACATAAGGCCAAACAATAGCACTACAAGCGACCTCGTGTTGTTGAGGATCATAACATACCCAAGCTATAGCAGCAGCCATTTGTGATGATCGTTTCCAATCTCCATGATCCATTTAAGTTTTTGTATATAAATTCTGTTTGTATAGTATTATTTAAAAAAATAAATAAATAAGTGAATATTGTGTTGGGAGTATAGATTCGGGTAAGAATTCGGAAAGGAAAAAAGTGAAGAAGTTATGAATTAAATTTTTTATCTATTTTTTATTTTTTTTTAAATCTATATCTAAGTTTATGATTCAAACACGACCATAATTCGAAATATCGGTTGCATAGTTCTAAATATCGGCCGATATTGTACCGGTCGATTCATACTGAAAAATTGGATTGCCGATTCGTATATGGACCGGTATACGGTGAGAATGAAATTCGTAGCCGTAGCATCCGGTTGCCAATGCGTATCGGCCTGAATCTGATATATGAGTGATACAGTTCTGATACACATTTGATACCAGCTAGAGATTTGCAGTTCATATTTCACAATCAAACTTCTTTGTGGGTTGGCTCCATAGATCTAAGCTTCTTTCTTTGGGCTGTGTAAAGTTCACTTCAACCTTCAACTTGAGGAGACAACAACCTCTAAACAAAAACTCTCAATCGGACCAAACCCAAATCCTCAATCAAACCCAAACTCATCTTCCAGTGGCATTGATCTTGTAAAGTGTTGTAGGGAGAAGTATCGAATCGATCATTAATGCAGATCCGACTTTGCCCAAAACCGGCAAAGCCACCGCTTTCAAGCTTCTTCAAATAAGGTTTGTTGTTATGCTCTGTTTTGTGGTTGTTGTTTTGTTTCTATTTATTTATTTATTTATTTATTTATTTCGGCTTCGTAATTGGCTTCTTAAGCCACTATTTTGCATCGTTGAGAGAGAGAGAGAGAGGGCATAGAAATGTTTGTGGTTCAGATTTTTTATTTTTATTTAAAGAGGTTTAATTTGTTAGATTTTTTATTTGAGATTATTTTTATTTCAGATTTTTTTTAAGATGTTTAATTGTTAAGTAAAAAGGTTTAATAAAAAAAATATTTCCACATAAATTTTTTTATTAAAAGTTTAACATATATGTCAAATAAAAACTTGAGATTAAAATAAATACATATCATATATTAGTTGAAAATGAGTCAAAAGTGCTCATACATATCAAAATTTTGATTAAAATGTGATAAATTAAGGTTAAAAGAGTCAAAAAAATGCATAAAATTGAGTTTTAGAGAGACTATCGTGACACCCGATTCTCGATACGTACCGATCGATACTGCCGATACTGATACTTCGCGATCGATACCATTACGTTATCTAATACCACGATTTAAAACTATGACCGGTTGTTACATACGGTATGCACTGGTATGTAATGGCTTTTCAAGCTCCCGAGTCAGATATTAAATTCAACATAATTGAACCAACATTTTTGTGAATACTAGGTCTCGTTTAGGAACAGACTATTTTAGTAACTTTTTAACATTTTACGAAAAGATGTATAAAAAAGTAGATAAAGTGATGTGACAACTTAGAATGACTTTTTAACTAAAAGTAAAGGTTATCAAACGAGACCTAAGTCTTGATAAGTTACAACATAAAAACATCCAAACAATTCCCATAAACAATTTCACTCCACTAGTTTCCTATAGAGATATATATCTCTATACAATCCAAAATAGCTCTGAACATCTCAACAAAGACTAAAAATTAAACACTAACTAGACTAACTAGACGTATCTTAATTGGTCACCATACTTTCTTCAAGACTTAATCCTTAAGAAGGTCATGAGTTCAACTCCTTTTAAGAGAGTTGAATTAAGGTAGTGCAAACATTTAAGTATTTTATCGAGGGAGAGAAAGATTTCTCTCATAAATACTAATTTAACAATTAATAATTAATATTTATTGATAAAAAAAAAAAACTTAAAACTATTTGACCACCACAAAAAACGAAACCCACCTACATAACAACTACCAAAAAAAAACGTACCTACATAATAACAACCATTTCCCATCACTATCCCAAGAACTCGTGACTATATGACTTATTCCAAGTGGACATTATTAAAAAAAAAAATACTAATAATAACAGCAGAAGCTCAAAATATCAATAGTAAGAGCATCTCTAATGATAGTAGGTATTTTATCTATCTAAATATTATTATAAAGTATTCATTTTATTTTACCTGTCAACTGTTTTTTGTTTTTACTCCAACCATGCTCTTTATTTTAGCAATTCATTCAAATGCTATTAACTTTATAGAATGTCACGTCAGCAACAAAGATGGAGGGAAATAATCCTAATGATTAAATACATTTTGCCTAACTTTGAAGGCTAACTACATATAGCTAGTGAATGTGAGCTGAGCCAAAATACCTAATCATATGCCTAGTACAATAGAATTGAAAAAAGTGAGTCACATTAGCATTTTAACTAACAAATATTATATGCCTAGTAGGTTGGAAATACTCTGATGCTACAAACTAAAAAATATAATATCTTGAACATTCTTTCTAGTAGAGTTTCAGCCTCATTCAGAATGAATGGAATACTATAGCACTGTATTATGGAGAAAAAATCAAAGTTAAAAAATTAAGTTTTAAATATCAACTATACTTAAACTGCTGATATTGATATTCATTGCTATATCAACCAACACTGATTCCGATGCTGTTATTTAAAAACCATGATCAAGAGCCAGAACTCCACCCAACACCTCTAGGAGCTGAAGATGAGCAGTCAACTGAGGAAAATGGCCATCTGTGTCTACAATCTCGACCGTTGATTTCCCCTTGATCTTATTCTTCATGTAGTCGGCGACAGAGCTTGGGACGACCACGTCGTTGGTGGTCTGGATGATGGTGCAGGGAGTCATGACCTCGCCAAGCATCTCTCTCTGGTCACTGTGGAAAACAAGTTTGGCAATGGAGAGTGCAACCTCAGGTTTCATTCTCTTCAAGCATTTTTGGAACTTTTCAATAGAGAGAGAGTCATTTGGACCAACAGCAAGGGAAGCAAAGTTTGAAGCCCAGTTGTGGAAGTTTGATTCTATGCTTGATAAGAGTTGATCAATGTCTGAGTTCTCAAATCCTCCTTCATAATCTTCTGAATTTATGTATCTGTATGTGAAGATGTGGAAAAATATTTGAGAATTGGTTTGTAGACAAATTACACCTTTATGTAGAGTAGTGTTAAAGGACTCATATTATTAGAGTAGATGCTTTCAAAATTTATTTTTAGATGAGTTATCATTTATTTTTAGTAATTTTTTTGATATATATATTTATATTTATTATTTTTTAGATGCGCCTAATTTAAATAAAATTAAAAAATAAAGTATTTATGAAAAAAAATATTTTAAAAATTCACTAAATAAAAAAAATACAGAAATTCAATATATTTTCGTAAGTTTTTTTGAATTTATTGATTTTTTATAGAAAAAATTTCACAAATATTTTATTTTTTAGATGTATCCAGGTCAGTTGCATCTAATTTTTTTTTAAATGACTAATTTATTAAAAAAAAGTTTACGAAAAAATACGGAAACAAAAATTCAAAAAAAAAAAATGTATTTAAAAATTCAAAACCAAACAAAGTGAGATGCGTAGTTTGAATTCATTTTAAAGGTTAGTTTCATTATGTAATAATTAAATTTAGGCTACACATTATTTTTTTAAAATAAAATTTTAAATATCCTAAGTCCATAATTTATTGAATAAGAGAAATTGAAGTATAAAAAATCTCCAATTGATGCAATAATTTTTTATAAAATGATAAATAATTTTTAATACATAATGATTTTGAATTATGTTATTTCTCAAACAAAAAACCAATAAATCTAGTAAAAATTTCAAATACATATAGCCTCAAAAAGAGGGAACTACAAATTAATGGAAGAATTGAAAATATTTATAAAACAATAATGCTATAAAATTAGAAAATTTACCTAGATATTTATACAGAAACATCATTATGTGGTTCCAAGTGATCTAAGTCATGGATCCTATAATAATTGAATCTCAACCATATACAATACCATTTTGAGTAAACTGACGAAATAAAACTTCTAAGTATTTAACTTAAGTGTGAAACAAATTAACACAAAACTGTGAAAAATATAAACAGACATACATAGGAGATTAGACTTTCGATGTTAACATTTACCTATATTTAAGTTAATACATATAGTAGTGTTTTGAAAAATTAGTAAAAAGTTAATTTTTTGAATTTTTTATTCTATTTTATCTTTTTGTGAATAAAAAATATGAGAAATGATGTGATTCAAAATTGATAAAAAGTTAAAAGTCTTTTTTTTTTTTTTTTTTTCAAAATACAAGCTATGAAGCAGGGGTATGATCAACTGAAGGGGTGGATTATATATATTTTTTTTTGATCAGCAAAGAGAAATTTCATTTAATAGCATGAAATTAAAGGTACAGGAAGATGACATGCTTCGAGAGAGATTCGGAAGTATAAAAATACTCCTACTACTGCTACTCGCATCCATACAACCAACCCCTAAGCCTCTCGATTTTTTAAACAGAAAAGATAAGAAGAACTTAACTAGAGAATTAAAATACATGAATCCCCACATATTCAACCCACCAAAACACCCAATACAAACTAAATGAACTACCCTGCACCCAAACTAAACTAAATTAACTAAACCAACCCCGGGAACAACACCAACGCCTCTGCCAAGTCCACTCCTCTGACGCTGCTGCAAGAACAAGACACGCCTCTGCAGCTTTAACCACCCTCTCCTAGCTGCTGCCCACGCCACCTCTAAGCTGTTGCAACTCCATAGCTACTACCCACTCCACTAACAAGCCACGCCTCTGCCGAGAAGACTCCAAAAACCACCGCCGGGAACAACACCTACTGCCGACAGAACTACACCCCGGCTGCAAAACCCATTGCCTACACAACAACACCCACTGCCGAAGACACACACATAGCATCTCCCACCAGATCTTCTTCTTGCTCACACCCAATCCCCACGCCTTAACCTGTGCTGCAGCCCACAAAAAAATAACTACACCTCCTCTGCTACATCAGGTCCTCTTCTTTCTCGCACCCAATACCCATTGCCAAGCACCAAAACCGACAGGTCTTCAATCACACGCCGCGGATCCGCACACCCACCGAGCACCGACCACCTGCTAGGACACCTCCAAACAAAGGTAGAAACTCACCCCTCAAACTCTTACTCGAGGAGGAGCGCTCGAGTGACAACCGGACAGAACTGGATCGCACCCCTCAAGCTCCAACTCGCCAAAAGCGCTCGAGTGAAATACCTGGAAGCCCCTGCTGAAACAGCTACTGCAGCAAGGTTAAAGCAGACGAGGACAAACTGACAAAGCCTGGACATACCAACCACTAACCCGCAGCAACGAAGCACACCAAGGAGGGATGAAAACGGGGGACTCAAGTTTATTGAAATGAAAAAACTGACAAGGCAAAGGAAAAGAACAAGCTAGGCCAGCCGACCGCCATCGCCAAAGGCGGCGCCCAGCCGGCCCAAAAAGAGGCCGGAGATATGTCTGCATCTCTCTTACAAATATGTATTATGATATTGTTATTTAAAACCAATATATATGTGTCTAATCATTAATAAATACCTGGGTGAAGCTCCAATGAGTATGAGCCTGTTGAATAGCTCAGGTCTCTTTACAGAGGCAATGCATCCAATCATACCAGACATTGAATGCCCAACAAAAACCATTGATGATGAAGAACTCAAATTCATCTCCTCCAAAAGACTTATCAAGTCATCAGCAAAAGCATCAAAGGAAGAGTACTTCACAGGATCAAAAAAGCTTTGATCTTTCACAGCACCAGAGAAGCTCCAGTCGAAGACGACGACAAGGTGTCGCTGAGCCAAGTGCGGGACAATTTTGTCCCACACAGACTGGTCTCCTCCATAGCCATGTGCCAAAACCACCGTGTCGTCGCCTGAGCCAGAGGTTCTGGCATTCATGGTGATGGAGAGAGGCTTTCCATGCATCACCACCATGGTTGGAAGTTGGTGGAGAAGGAAGTGGTAGATTGGTAGTAAAAAGATTGGAAAGCAAGTGAGGGAGAGAGAAATGGGTAAGGTATTGTTGGTGGCTATTTTTGGTTTAGTTTTGTGGTTTGTTTGGCCTCTTTATATAGGAAAAAATTATGGGTAAATTAGACTTGTAGTATTTTAATTTTATTTCCTATTTACATTGAGTTTTTATAATTCTAAATGTATTATTTTTGAATTTTTTATATTGTATCAATTTAATCTAATTGATAATATCTTTTAAAATTTGGATTGAAATAAAGGGGTAAAATAGTGAATTCACTTTTCTTAAGATAATTAAACGGTAGACATTCAATTTGAAATTGTTTATTCTCACTTAATAAATTATTTCATTATTGATTTTTTTAAAATTTCTTGATAGATGTTATCAAATGAACTAAATTGATATAATGTGAAAAATCAAAAGGTAAAATTGATATAATTAGAATTATATAAACCAAATTGATATAAGAGATAAATTATAAAAATTGTGGGTTTAATTTGACCAAAAATTATTGGATGTATTACATGACAAGTTCTTTCTATTAATCACAAATAATTATTTTTTAAACATTAATATAAATATGATGAATTCTATTATTAAAATCAATTTACAAAGAGGAAAGGCGCAACGTGACAACGGGTGATTATTCAGTACTCCCGGAGTATGGACACGTGGTGCTCCATAATGTTTTGATTGGTGGAGAGACACAAAGGCCCACGATTTATGTTGTAGATGGGGGACAACATGGGACTAACTGATTGGTGATTGGTTTGGATTATGGACACGTGGTGCTCCGGGAGTATTGAATAATTTTCCCGTGACAACAGCCTCTCTGATCTACAATAATTTATGTATGTATGAAAGGGAAGGTAATTAAGCGATTAAGCACATGGGTTTATTATTAATGATAGATTATGTCTGGCCTAAATAAGACTTGATTTGAGAATAAATTATTTTATTAATTTTTTAATTTTTTATAAAAAATATAAAAAATAAAAAAATTAATATGATAATTTACTTTTTAATTTTTAATTAAAATTTCAAGTTGTCAAACGATACGTCCATCTAGGTTTAAATTACTAGTTTTCAAGGAGGTTTTGACCGTGATAATGACCTCCCAAGACTCAAGTGGTGTCACGTGATGTCATGTATGTGTCACCTGTTCCATGAGACCACACGTTTATGGTCAACCATGTATAAAATAGTTTATTGGATATTATCTTTATTAGATCATCAATGGTGCTAAAAATTAAATTATTGAGAAATTGATTGAACAAGGTATATAAAGGGATGTTTTGAAAAGATGGTTAAAAATTAATTTTTTATTTTTTATTTTTTGATATTTTTTGATTTTTTATTTTTGATTTTTTTTTTTTTTTTGAGAGAGGAATGCTTTTAATTCACTTATCAAAATAGGCCTAAGTGTTATTTTGAAAAGTTGACAAAAAATTAATTTTTTAACTTTTTAATAATTTTTTAACTTTTTTATAATAAAAAAAATAGAAAAATAATTTAATCTCAAAAAATTAAAAAATCAAAAAATCAACTTTCTACTGTGTTGTCAAAACGTCCTAAGTTAGCATTTTCGCTCATGGATAGTTTTGTCTCGCACAAGAAAAGATAGACATTTATTATTTATTTATTTTATTTGCCTTTTGGATCAATCATGTGACCACCACAGCACAAGTTGCCTTCTATAGTGGAATTTTTTGTTAAGATCTCTTATGTTCGAAAGTTCTCTCACTTGTGGAAAGCGTCAATTAAGGGAAGATTTGGATATGGGATCCGTCTTTGAAATTAAGGGAAGATTTGGACATAGGACCCGACCTTCTTTTTATATTTTTGATTGTTCTTGTGTGTAGGCACTAAAATGTTGTTTGCTTTATTCTTCTTTTATTAGAAAAAGTTTTTTTTTTTTTTTTTTTTCTTTTTTTTTTGAAGATTTGTGAGCATGACACACTTTATAAAATGGGTCAATAATTCTTAATAAACCGATGTGAGATTGATTTTCATTACCCACATTAGCCCCCATCGTGTGGGTCCACGTGGTGGAGTTAGATTTCCTAGTGATAACCATTCAACTATCGTAGCACATACTAAGATATTATCCATTTTGTATCATAGAGGCACGCACGATTTCGTTCTTCCTTCATTAGAAAAGGCCTTTTTAAAATTTGTGAGTATGACACACTCATAAAGTGAGTCAAAAGTTCAAGTGAACTAATGTGGAACGGGTTCAGACCCACAGTCCTAAATCTCTTTATCCTAGGAGTGTCTATTTGAAGGGATTGAAAGGCGGGAATAGACTTCATATTTAATATCTCACCTAACCCGTTGTTTGATTGAAAGTTCGACCGGATTGTTAGTCTCCCAATAGAATAGTCATTTTTTTATATCTGATCTCATGACTAAATAAATATGAAATACACATCATTTTCAACTAAATAATTCAAAAACTACGTATCATAAGATTAACAGTTAGTCCAAAATATATTAGTCTATATTCCTATATAAGAAAACAAATCCTAATTGAACTTTATTTAGGTATGACCAAAACACTCTTACTAATGACCTCAGTGCCAATTCAAAGTTTATTTTACATTGGAAACTTATGCATGCATATTAAGATTATGTTTGACTATTCAATTTATAAAATAAAAAAATAATAATTTTACTTCATTTCACTTTTTCCTCTACAAATAATTTAAAAATTAAATACAGTCTAAACTCATCAGCTAAAAGAGAGTCAATCTCTCCATCAGTGATGGCTAAAAATTGAAAGGAAAGGGGATGGGAGGTGGGTGTTTTTAGACCTTTGGGATTATTTAATATGTTGACCTTCTAATATATATATATATATATAAATGATATCTTATAGATTTTTTCATACAAGATTCAATATTAAAATAATATATATGTGTGTATGTATATAAGTAGGCAGAATGAGAGTTTGAGATGTTTTTGTCTGCCTATTCACATACTAAAGCCCCAAAACAGTGATTATTATGAATGAGTTTTGTATCAACCAGAGACTATTGATCAGGAGGAACATCCTTCGTCAAAATGAAAATGGTGTAGATTTTGGGCCTTCAGTTTCTCCGTAGCCAACCAATACAGACATAAGACTAGTTCCAAAGGTCAAATGAAAAGACAAAAATAATTCAGAAATTTTAGTGGATTAGGGGATTATTTTTACGAGTTTCCATCTTTTTAAATAAAAAAAATTTCTTTTTAACATTTATCAAAAGTATCAACTTTTTTATTAATAATTTTATTTTTACAAATTTAAAAATAAAAAAATAATATTTAAAAATGCTATTATCAAACCAAACCAACTGTAAATATAAGGGGTGTTTGGGAAGATGGGTTTGAGGCTAAAATAGCCTCAAACTAAAAAAAAAGCCAAAAAGCTCCTAAACCAACCCTTTTTATTTAAAAAAAAAAATATAGCTGCAGCCGTGGGACAGTGTAGCATTGACGAGTTGTTCCATCACTTGATAAATTACAATTTTGCCCCTTTACATCAATTTTGAAAAAATGTAATCTTAAGGACAAATTTGTAATTTTAACTTCAAATATCATTTCAACACATTTTTCAATACAATAACTCAAATAAAAATCTATCTCATCTTCTCAAACACAAAAATTAAAATAGCCAAAAAACCTCTAAAATAATCACTTCCCAAACACCCACATAGTGTTATACGGCCTTGCCTTGAATTAGTAGTGGTGGCCCTAGTGGAGGCCAAAAGGAAGGCTAAATTGTAAATAAATTGGACAGTAAAAAAAAACAAATGTATTATAGATAAGAATTTTTTTTGAATACAATTTTGATGCATAAAAAAGATTTATACCAAACACTAAAATAGACTATACACACAAAAATGAAATTATTTTGTATTACCCCATTCAAATGTAATTTTCCCCAAAAGAAAAGGAAAGGAGTGAAAGGACAACCACAAAGACAGTTGTGTTTTGTACTGCAGATTCATTGAAACGCAAAAACAAAAGGCCTTTTTGTCTTGTTTTGTGTTTCAAAGCTTAGGATAAGTCCAATTGCCAACTTTTCCCCTCTAATTAAAGGTGGTGGTTCAATGATTCTTTAGCAGCTTCTCCGATATTTGATTTGGTCTCAAACTACATGAGATTTGGACCATAATAAATGAAAAATTATTATAAATAAATAAAAATGAAAACTATTTTTTTTAATGACAAGCAACCTCTTGATAGTAAATTTGGGACACATGTTGTTGGACTAGATTCTCTACCCCATTCACCCTTGCAATGGTAATTTAGGCATGTCGTTTAAATTTTCGTTTGTCAACTATACATTTTCGTCAAAAAATTAAAATTATTAAAAATTGTCATATCATTCTCTCTACTTTTCTGTTCATATTTTCATAAAAAATCAAAATAAACTAAAATAATTTGTTTCCAAATGAGACTTTAAAACATAACTAGTGGTAGTATAAGTAGATGTTTTAAGTCTAAAACACTTGTAATAATCTTGATTATTATAAGATTATTGCAAGAAAAGTATTGCAGAAAATCATATTTCTATATAATTTGTTGCAAAATAGGTTTATCAATTAAGATCAAGTAATACCAAGAAGAGTTGAATTTAAAATGTTCAAATTTATAATTTTCAAGACAAGTTCCCCTATCACTAAACTATCCAAATGGGTTAAAAGAAGGAAATTGCTAGAAGAATACAAAAAATTGATCACATAATCAAACACATAATCTATATAGATGAATAAGATTTTTTAAAGATATATCTTATTAACAAATTTTATAAAATCTTATCTGTTTATTTGTGTTTCATTCTTTGTTTGATTTTTGTATTCATAATAATAATTGTACGGGAAAGAAATAATTCTTCTCGTATAATCCTGTTGACTAAGTCTGTGCTCTGTGCTCCTCCGTACGACGTCGCTTTGTCACCTGAAAACACAAACGTGAGCTAGTCGGCGGGTGTGTGCCGGAAACCTCTCCGATGCCTAAGTCAGCAAACTTGACAAATAGACAAAACTCTTTGTATTCAGAAAGCAAAGTTGTGTCTTGTGTTACCTCCTCC